AAAAGAAGAGGAAAAGAAAAACAAAACAAAACAAAAAAAAAAACACACACACAAAAAACGACCCCTTTACTCCGCCTGGAGGCAGAGGCAGGTCCTTTGGCACGATGTGTGGGTAGGGGTCGAGTCACCTGGCGGAGGGGCTAGTTATGTCGTCTTGGATCACAACTATACAAAAAAATTTAAAAGAAAAAAAAAAATGGACCCTTTACTCCGCCTAGTGGCAGAGGCCGGCCCTTTAGCGTGGTGTGTTGGGGCAGAGGGGGACTTATGTGTCCCGGATCACAGTTCTATAAGCAATCTCCCTCAGTTGACTCTCAGTTCCCCGTCATTTTGTGGACAGCGCCAGCGACTGAGTGGAACAGGGCCGCTGGAGACCGCCTGGAAACTCCGCAGCAATATTGCTCTTTCTCTCTTTTCCGCTCTTTCGGAGGCAGCCCCTGAGTCTGCAGCTGCGACAGACTCCGCAGATTCGGGAGAAAAAGTGGCTGCGCGCGCCTCTCCTCGCAGGGCGCGACCAGCTCTGCCGCAGAGGCAGCAGCTATGACTCAGGCGGACACCCGGGCAACAAGTCCCAGCAGTTGCAGGCTTTGGGGTCCCCAAATTGCAGCTGCCCACCCTCTGCTAGTCAGCGCTGAAGCCGACTGCACCGGGAGGGCATCCGGAGCCAGGGTCCTCCGTTGCCTGTTCCCAGACCTGCATCCGCCTGCCGAGCCCACCGCGCACCCTACCCACGGCGACTCTGGACCGATCCGCGGGAGGACTCTGTGCTGTGTCCCTCCCAGCACCCGCGGAACTTTCAGCAATTTCCGCGGGTAGAGCCTCTTTTATGGAGTTCCCCTCCCCGGATCCAGTCCTGGCAGTCTCCTGTGGCAAGAAGCTGTCTCCAAACTCTCCCCTGTGGGCTCGGGCCGCGTCTGATCTGGGGAGAGCGCGCTCGGGCTGGTCCCTCCCCTCCGATGCCGACCCAGCGCCGCGCTCCGCTGCGTTCGAAATGGACCCCGCTCCTGTCTCGGCTCCCCACCGCCTGTCGGTCTGTGCTACCACCTCGCACTGACCTCTGGCACTTCCCTGCCTGCGTGGGAGTGGGGTTTGGTGAAGGAAGAGTCGTCTTCCTGTGAGTCAGATCGCACTGCCTGGGCCAGCCCACCGTGGGGCGCGGCCATCCCGCGCTGCCTTTCCCCTTTGTCCCAACTCTCCGGTAATTTGCGAGTCCTTTTTGAGTTCACCTGATTTTATCCGCGGGACTGCTTGTCCCTCGCTGCTTCTCTGTAGATTCACGAAGCTAATCCTATAGGGGAGCGCCTCGCTCGCGTGTGGGTGTCCGTGTTCTTCACCTCCCACTCTGGGAGCAGAGAGCCAGGAGGTCACCCCTAATCCGCCATCTTCCCGACCCCCCCCCCGACATTTTGCCTTTTAAAATGAGCATTGTATGTCTTTCCGCCATTCCCTTAGTATTTTGATCCCGTGTTTGTCTCAGCCCCTGGATGTACGCAGGGCATTGGTTCCAGACCCTGCCCCCCAGAATCTGCACATGCTCAAGTCATGCTGTCCACCTGCAGACCCCACGTGTACGAAAGCTCAGCCCTCCGTGTACATGGCCCCCGCAGCCCGCCAGTGCTGTTCTCAATCTGCCTTTGGTTAAAAAAAATCCGAGTATAAGTGGACCCATGAGGTTCAAGCCCGTGTTGTTCAAGGGTCAGCTGTATTTAGAATTGGGGGAGAGTGAGGGGAGGGTGAGTTTTCAATCCACAAGTTATTTGGGGGAAACCTTGTCTTGGGCACAGGGACAGATGGAGGTGACATTTTTCACTCTCTGTGAGGAAGAACGGGGTAGAGGTGACTAGTCCAGAAAACCACAAAGACCTAGTCACAAAAACAAGTCACAGAACTAAAGCTATGCTTGGCTTCAGGTGACCAGAGCCTCAGCTGGCTTAGTCTGTGAGCTCAGTGGGAGTCGGGTTTAGATGGTGCATTCACTTCCCATTGCTGCTGCAACAACTGCCACAAAGGCAATGGCTTCAAACAACACGGATTTATTCTCTTAGGGTTCTGGGGGGCAGAGGTCTGCAGTAGGTGTCGTGGACTGAAGCCACACTGTCTAGCGGGGCAGGTTCCTCCTGGGGGCTCTAATGGCAGATCTGTGTCCTCGCCTTTTCCAGCTCCTGGAGGCTGCCTGCACCCTTGGGCTAGCCACTCCTTCCTCCCGTTGCCCAAAACTCCTGCTTCTGTCCTCACGTCTCCCACCTGTCACTTTCAGTCTCCAGCCTCCCTCTTGTGGGGACCCTTGTGATCACAGTACCCCCCCCCCCCGGTAATCCAAGATGATCTCTCCAGCTAAAGACCCTTAGCTTATCACAAAGCCTCTTTTACCACACGGGGCAGCATATTCACAGGTCCCGGGGACATGGATGTAGTTATCTGGGGGCCCATTAATCAGCCTACCACAGATAGGTGACCTAACATGAAGGCTGTTCATGAGTCCCTAGGGGCCAGGCACTGGCTAGGGCAGGAGGAGCGTCCAGAGGCTCAAACCACGTGATGGAGAAGATGGGAACATGCACACATGTTCTAGAGGCAAGTTTCACAGAACCAAGGCCAAATGAGCGTGGGAGGAAGCTGTGAAGACTGTCACAGGCGGTGTCTGTGAGCTGGACCTGGACAGACAGCAGGATTTCCAGCAGCGGAGCATGGGCTGTACCATCACATGAATTAAAGGCTGAGGCGGGCTTTGACTTCCTCTCAGCCTTGCAAGTGTTGGCACTGGCAGTGGCCCGATTGAGATGTGGGTATCTCAGTCAAGCCTTGGGATGTGAACAGCAGGGCAGGATAATGGGATAATTCTGTCTCTGCAGCTTCCCCAATGCCACCCCACAGGCCAGCCGGTGCCTGGGCCACCCAAACTGACCACGGTGTGTCTGTGTGCTCTCCAGGAACAACCCCGGGCTCCAAGATGGCCCTGCAGAGCTCCTTCACTTGTTGGAATGGGACAGTCCTTCAGCTCGGGCAGGCCTGTGACTTCCACCAGGACTGTGCCCAGGGAGAAGATGAGGGCCAGCTATGCCGTGAGTAGATGGTGCTGCCCCCACCCTGCCCAGCCCAGCCCACGCCCACACTCTTGCCCCCTGTCTCCCCAGACAGCTGAGCTTGGACAGCCATCCTGACATCCAGTGACACATGTGACTCCTCTCATGGCAGAGCCACATGCAAGAGGCAGAGCTAGGATTTGTGGTCTAGAAACAGCCCAGTCCTCCATGCTTTGTGGTCGTATAAGTCAAGAACCAAACAAGATCTTGTAAGTCATGCTCTGGGCATTCTGAAGGCACGGAGACAATGTGCAGGATAAAGCCCAGCTCCGTGAGGTGGCATTGGAGGCCCTGTACACCCAGACTTTCATCCTCCACCTTCCATGCACCCCCAGCTCCTGCCATAGGAAGCCACCTCGCAGGTCCCTCGTGCCTCCATGGCTTTGCCCACTCGGTCTCCCCTTCCCAGCATGCCCTGTCCTTTCTCAAGTCACAGCTATTCCTGCAAGACTCACCTCAAGTCGATTCTTCCAGAAAGCCTCCCCTGACCATCCCCTGCAAGTACAGTTGGTTCTTCTTCCTCTGGAGCCTTCCCCCATACTAATATATCCATCCAAACATCATTACTTCCTCTAGTTTTTACTAACAGCGTTGAGATGTAACTCATATACCATACAATTCACCCACTTATGGTGTACAATTCAGTGTTTTTAGTATAGTCACAGGGTTGTTCAACCATCGCACACTCTAATTTTAGAACATTTTTATCACCCCAAAAGGGAACCCCCAGCATGTCTCCTCATTTCCCTTCAACACCCCTGCCAGGAAAAGTCAGGGAGGCCCAGGGCTCTGTTACCACCTTTAGGCGGAGGGTGGGGTAAGATCATTGGCCTCCCCATCTGACTCTCAGTTTCTTCATCTGTGACATGATGCCTGCTGACCCTGATGTCTGAGAAGCAAGCAGGAAGTGTTAGAGCAGCTCCCGGCACATAATAAGTGCTCAGTAAATGTTAGCGTTGTTAATGTTGCTGTCGTTATCTTCATGGGGATGGTTTCCAGGATCAACATCAATGTCTTAGGGAAATGCTCTTGACTACACTTGGCCTTTCCCAGGTGGTCAGGAACCTGTTAAAATGTTTTCTCTGCACTTGCGTTCACACTGCAGCTGTGTTGGGGATGGCCAGATCCTCTAAAGAACCCCCGTGAGAGTCAACTATTTTTGGGCCAGGATAGTTGACCAACTCCTGCCATGGCTGGAGAAAAAGTAGGTTGGGGAGAAAAAGTAGGTTGCATTTAGTCAACTCATCCCACCGAAGGGCCAGCCCCAGCTCCCCACAGCTTCCCCAGAAGGAATCTCCTGCATGGAGATTATCAGACGCATCCTGTGCAACATAACTGACTTTGTATAGCCCTTAAATACTCTAGGAGTTGGGTGGGATGAGTGGAAGGCCTGAGGTGAAGGTGGAATTCCCTTGCCCTTCTCTCTCCAATCATGACACCCATCTGTCATTGTACCCCCTACCCAAGCCACACCCCAATATGCCATTCTCCTTCCCTCTCTGACACAGACACCCTGCATTTCCAATTAAACATTGCCAAATCCGAGTGAGATATCCAGATGCTGTGATGCATTGAAGGGGGTCTTCTGCATTCCCTGTGTGTCCCCACCAATGTCCTCAATGGCATGTGGCTCCCCAGAAAGGGGCCAGGTGTCCACACTTCACTCCCTGGATGGGTCCATTACTCACTGGGTATTGCAGGCAGATCAGCACCCCTCCATGGACTTGATAATCTCACCTGTTTTGTGGGGATGCTCTTCCTACCAGGCAAGACCAGTTCTTTAAAAGTTTATTTCTTTACAGTAAAATAAAACATGCTGGTTGTAAAACACTTGGAAAATCTAGAAAAGTGCACAAGAGAAAATAACTATTGCCTATAATCCTCCCTCTCAGACATTCAGAGATAACCATAATATTTTCATATATTTCTTCTAGCATTTTTCCATGACTCTATATGTTCAAGAAAATGAATAACACATATTTGTCAAAAATGTTAACAGAGTTGTCACACAGGAAGGAAAAGGAGTAGTGTCATTTGGCCCGGAGTTTGTACTTGGCAGCTCCTGTAGCTGCTGCCGAGGTCACATCTCTATGACTCTACCAATTTGTCTCTCTTAGAGTGGAATCAGGTGTCATAATTGCCAAATATTGCAGGATTGATTGACCCACACACAGCGCGATCTGGCCATCCAGCCAATGAAGTAACTGGCTCCCACCCAAGAAGGGGGCCGGTTAGGGCAGCGCCTCCCAAACAGTAAGGAGTCAGCAGGAGAGCTGGTTACAAATGCAGATTCTGACTCCATAGGCTGGGGTGGGGCCTAAGAGCCCACACTTCCAACAGTTCCACAGTGATGTGGATACCGCTGGTCCCTGGACCACATTTTGAGGGTTAGAGGGCTGAACCCACTCCCATTTTGTTCAGCAAGTAATTATTGAAGTTCTACAATGTGCCAAGCACTCAGTAGGTGCTTGGGGTAAAGAGAAGAGAAAAGGATGATCAAAGGATGAGTTGACACCATTAGACCCAACCCTGTGGGCCAATCTTTTAGCTCAGCAACTGGCCTTAGCAGCAATTTCCCAAATGCGGCCTGATCCATGAAGGGTCTGACCCCTAACCCGAATTCCACCAGCTTCCTCGAAAGTGGCCTCTTTCTAAGCAAGCTGCTCTGATGAGTTTACAGCAGTGGAAATCCTCTCAGCGCCTCTTCCTCCCTTCAAGGTTTTCATTGTCACATAAGTTGCTCACTGACCTGCCTTGTTGTTTTGCCTGGCTCCTCTCCCTTTATTCAATTAGCCAAAAAGAAATGGGGTTTCCAACCACAGCTCACCCTGGATCCTATGCCGAGCTAAGACAAGGCTGGGCTTCTAGTGGTGAAGGGTGCTGATGGTGCTCCTCGTTCCTGGCCAGGTGGAAGGCACAGATAAAGTGAGCAGGTACTTCAGAGAGGCAGCTCAGGACCTCCTGGCTGTCCCAGCCCTTGCCCTGATGAGCTGGTTCCCCCTGCTCGGGTGCGAATGAGCATCAATAATACCACCACCACTTATGTCTACACCACGAGGGCTGTTCACAGAGCATTGCCACACTCTCTGCCTTATTTTATCCCCAAGCCAGCCCAGTGAAGTAGACACTCACATTACCCCATTTTACAGACGAGGAACCTGAGGCTCTAAGGAAGGAAGGGACTTGCCTAAGGGTCACACAGCAGGAAGTGGTGAGGCCAGGACTAGAGGCCATGTGTCCAGATTCCTGTGCTGTGGTAGCTTCAACACCCACAAATCAGGCTCTGTCCTCTGTTCTCACCTCCACCTCCCGGAAGGGAGAGGAGGAAGTGACATGCTGTCGGCCCCCAGCGCAGCCCTGCCTCCTCCTTCCTCCTGCTGGAATCTTCCATCTGAGCCTTAGTTTTTAAAGCTCACTTGTGAAGGACACTCCATGAGAAGGTCACTTGCAGCCACCGGTTGATTTCTGCAAAAGAAGTGGATGTAGGATCCCTTGAGGGGGGCATAAAGAATAAAATAGAAAGTTCTCCTTAGCTTTGGGAGTTTTAATCAGAGGAACATGCGAGGCTTGGGGGGAAATGATTTCTTCAGGGGGGTATAAATGGAAAGAGATGCTCAAAGTCAGTGACAGCCTGTTTTAATTTATAATTCTGCCTCCACGTGAAATGCACAGAGAATCAAGGGGGAAATGAGTAATAATTCACGAAGGTGCTGTCACAGCCAGTCAGCCTGCTGCTGCCAAGAAGACTGAGGGAGAGGAAGGACCTGGCGTGCAGTGGGTCCAGCTAGAGAGCATCTCTCCTCCTCCAGGGAGACATAGGCTTGTCCACAGCTAGGCCTGGAGCTACTGGGTGCTGTTGGAATGGCCTGGAAGGGCCCACCAGCTCCACGCTGACAGCCTTGCCTGGGGCCATTCCAGAGGAGAGGGAGCTCTCTCTGGCCCTCTTCTCCTGTCCTCTTCCTTCTGTGGGAAGTTGGGAAATACACAGTCTAGAAAGCTGATGTGGGCTCCTCAGTGGGACCTGCGGTTTGTCTGATGGGGAGAAAGGGACTGCAGGCCCTTTATGCTGAGCCAACAGATGCTACAAAGAGGCCCTGGTGACTGGAATTGTTTCATCAGGAGAAGCCAGGTTATGCTGCAACAATAAACCCCACATTTCAGTGGCTTAAGACGACATTTACAGCAGCTGGCCAATGAGGGGTGGGAGTGGGCAGCAGCTCTGCTCCACGAGGTCACTCAGGGGCCCAGGCCGGCACAGGCTCCTCCATCAACACAGCGGCACACTCAGGAACAAGAACTCTCCTCTGTCGCTTCCAGCAGAGAAAAAGACAGACTGAAGATTTGCACGAGGGCTTTCACAGCCTCCACCCAGATGAGACACATGTCGCTTCCTCTCACGTTTCATTGGCTAGCGTGTGTCACAGGGCTTCACTCACCCACAAGGGGGTCAGGGAGTAAAGAGGTTTTGAGCAATTGTGTGTCTGCGGACAGGGGTGATGCGAAGGATCCAACCAACCCCCAGCCCACACCACCACCACCACCCCCACTCTCTCGTCATTGTGTCCACCATGGGAAATGTCTTCTAGTGAGTTAGACATCGGCTTCTCCTAGGGCCACACTCATGGGAGATCAGTATAAAGAACTCTGAATTTAGAAGCACAAGATCTGGGTTTGAGTTCCAGCTGGGTTATCTGTTAGCTGTGTGACCTTGGTCAGGTTGCTTAACATTTCTGAACCTCTGCTTTGCCATACATAAAACTGGCCTAACAATACCCATGCTGTGGAATTGTTATTATTACTATTTTATTTTCCGAAGACCAGGAAATCATAAACCAGCATATTCACATGTTAGGGATGGGGGCTTGTCTTCACTAGGATCAATGTCATTAGACATCATGCGTTCTGGCCGGGGAGCTGTTACTAATGAAGATAATTTGGTCATGCCTGGCTAATTGTACTTGACGTTGGCATATTTTGCCTACAGCAGTCCTGGAAATGACTGTGCCCCTGTGCTCTCTCCACAGGTAAACTCCCTGCTGGTTTTTACTGCAACTTTGAGGATGGCTTCTGCGGCTGGACCCAAGGCACTCTCTCACCCCACACTCCCCAGTGGCAGGTCAGGACCCTAAAGGATGCCCCGTTCCAGGACCACCAAGGTATTGCCCCTCCCCTCCCTTCCCCGGTGCCCATCCGATGCCCAAATAGACAGAGAAGAGACCTGGGACCCCACCCCAGGACTGGGCCTCACCCCACCCTGCAGGACAAGCTCAGCTGCCTGCCCAGATCCTGCCTGGGGTGCTCACACACATGCCCTCCTCACACCTTCTTGGGCTTTAGAATGGCCAAGGTAGATGTCCCCTTTGGGTACTTAAAATGAGAACCTTGATGAAGGATTAACTGAAAAATAACAACAACAATAATGATAATCTATCTTTCAACAGTGTGTGTTGAGGTTCTGCTGTGCGTCAGTCACATAATACAGTGAGAGGTGGGGGAAGCCTTAACCCTCTTCCTGCCTCGGGAGCCTGAGGCCTAGGGAGACCTTGTGTCATTCGCCCCATCTGGTTCATCCCCTGTGGCCCAGCCTCCTCAGCCACCCCCACTCCCACCACTGACTTGAGCTGACAATGCCTGTCGTCCCCTCGCTGGGACCCATCCTCCCCACAGCCCAGCAGGAGCGAAGGGCCTCCACATGCCCAAGAGATGGCCACCCACACCTGGGCAAGCTGACTGCACACCCAGAGACAGCAGCTCAGGCAGAGTGTGGGATTGGAGGGGGTCTGCGAGGCCAGCGGTGGCCCGGCCTTAGGCTGTACCCGGTGGCTAGCCCAGGCAGGCCCTGGCTCCCACCTCTCTGCAGAACAGAGCTGGTGGGGTGGGAAGGTCTCTCTCCGTCTTCCCTCCCCTGCATTTGCCTTCTTTTTGTGGAACTAGAGACCCTTATACCAAAACCCCTCTCTTTCCAAGCAAAGAGCACATATCCTATGGATTATTTTAAGAAATAATAATAATAAACGTGAGAGAGGACAATATCCAGCCCAACCGCGAAGGACCCCGGGGCCTATGCCATCCCACTGCCAGTGTTCGGAGCCAGCTGCATCCGAGCGTGCTGGCTGTGGGCCAGGACACACTCATGGTGGCCTCACCAGCAAGAAGGCTGAGTCACTGCAGCCACGGAGTATTCTGCAGGGCCCCTCACCAGAAGTGGAGGGCCCAGGGGCCCCTTCTTCTCCCCTGGGGCTCCTCACTTCGCAACATCATCCTTAGCACCCTGCCTGTAGAAGGAGCAGAGAAGAGAGATGAAGCTCAAAGCTAGACATGATCTTAATGTCTCTGCTCCCAGTTTGATAATTCCCCCTCCAGCTCCCATAGCAAATAAATATCCAGCCCTTGTTAAATACCTCTAGTGACAGGACTCTCGCTGCCTGCTAGCATAGCCCATGCCGTATTTACAGCTCTGCTGTGAACTGCAGATCAGTTTTCCTTACCTGGTGGCAAGCTCTGTCTCTCCATCAGTTTTACTCAGTGATCATGATTTGTGTCTCCCGGGGACCCACAGAACTGAACCACCCCAAGGCAGCCTTTCAGATGTTTGAAGACAACAACTGTGGCCCATGGGGGCTTTTCTCATGCCAGTCACATGACAATAGCTCCCTGAATCCTCCTCATGCTTGCTAAGATCTCCAGCCTGTCCTGCTCTGGACCCACCTGAATTTGTTACTCGGTAGTAAGTCAATAACAGACTTTACTGAGAGATAGAGAAAGACAGAAATGAGTGACTAAAGTCATGCTTGGGGTTCTGTGGGCCCCTAAAATGCTGTGAGCTCACACTGACACACATATCTGTAGCAATGACCATCTACAAAATGATCCACAGTTCCTAGAGGTTTGCAGATGCTTCTTCCTGCCACTGCGTGGGGCTGGGGGCTTCTGTTCTCCCTGGTGTCCAGGCAGAGTGATGCTTAGGAAATACAAGAAGTGAGTCTCCCCATGTAGGGCATGGAGCCAGAATGACCTGGGCTCTAGACAAAGAAGAAGAGAGTTCGTTCATAGAAACCATTGGAAGGCAATGCATTGGCATGAGTGTGCTTCAGGTTGTCCTGGGCTACAGGCTGAAGCTTATGACCTTGGAAGATCAGAGATGTAGTAGTCCAAATGTACGGCAGTTTGGAATGAAGGCCTTTGCATGACCCAGGTTTTGTTGACAATGACAAGTAGGCCTCAAACCAGTGTCCTCAAAGATACTCCTGATCTAGATAAGAGCTGTGCCCAGTCCATTAACCCTGCACCCTGGGACCCCTCAGTTCCTGACCATGGTGCATTTGTGACCCTTCTCCTCTCCCCCAGGCCGTGCCCTGTTGCTCAGCACCACTGATGTCCCCGCTGCTGAAAGTGCTACGGTGACCAGTGCTACGTTTCCTGCACCGATGAAGAACTCTCCGTGTGAGGCAAGTCTCGATGTTCCTCTAGTTCTCTGACCTCTCCCACCCCTTGTCACTTCAGATAAACCCAAACAGATTAAGCAAGTATGCTGGGTGGCTGCGCTGGTTGTCCTCCTGAGGAGGACAAGAAGGCCATCCGTGCCATCTTCTAGGCAGAGCACGTCCATCAACATGGTAGAGTCCCACCTGCAGAGCATCATACCTTAAACGCCCATACTCAGCTTCACTGAACTGTTTGCAGTAGGACCTTGATTTAAGCAAACCGAGAAAAGCTTTCCTATGGCATAACAGGGGACAGTAACAGGGTTTACAAAAGACTTTCTGCAGAATCCCTTTTAAAAATATCAAGCTCTTATAATACATTTCAAACACCCTAGAGCATCAAAAATTTGATTTACATAAATTTCACTAAGACACCAATGGCATTCAGTGCAGTACCTCCAAAGCCACTTGTCCAAATGGTTTCTGAAGCTGTTGTCTCGTTAGTGGGGAGGATGGAGGGACTGACTCCACATTCCTTAGCATACAGTCATGTTTTCCAGGGGCCAAGACCTGTGCTTAAGACCCCAACATGTCACGGACTCTGGAATCAACTGCCTGAGTCCAAGCCAGGTTCCACCACTGCTTGGCTGTACAATTTGTTGGGGCAGCTCATTAACCTCTCAGGGCTTCAGTTTCCTCACCTGGAAAATGGACACCCTAAGCGCCTACCCCAAAGAGGCGAAGATTAAATAGGTAATATACTCAGAGGACTTAGAAGAGCATCAGGAAGAAATAAGCACTACAATAGTTAGACAACAGTGCCCGGCACCCTGTGTAAACATTCAAAAGGAGAATGGGGGAAGAGGAAGAGGGTTTGAGCCAAAAATCAGAGTCTGAGCTCTCAGAGATCAGGCCATGCCTCGTGCTTTTTACACTCCCTCATGGCAGCTCCATCAGCATCGTGCACATAGCAGAAAATCAGCACATAGCTTAGATTCCGCCAGTCCTCTCTCTCGGGAAACTCACAGGAGAAATCGTGATCTGGCTTACTTTCAGGATAGCTACACACCCTCCAAGCAATTTATTTCCTGTCAACTTGTGGACACTGTGAAACTGACCAGATTCACTTCCCCTCCCTCGGCAGGTAGAAACCCGGAGGAGGTGAAGCCTTGGCCAGCAGAGGTACAGACAACATATCCCCCTGCTAAGGGGCGCAGGCACACGCAAGCCCATCGGGTTTCTTGTGAAATAAAAACTCACGGACATATAAAACAAATAAGAATGGAATAAGACGTGTAAATGATTTTTTGAATCAGAGGAATGGTTAAATTAAAACTGAGGCTCCACCTAGTAAGCAAACCAGACTTTGTGATGTGCAATCGGTAGCAATCACTCTTGGTTTGATTTTATAATGCGACATTTGCTCCATCTTTCTCACCCTCTTCTAGTTTATGTTATCTTAGTTGATTTTATGTATCTCTGTGAGTTACCTTAAATCGTTTTTGGAAGCAGTCTGGGCACAAATAAATAGATTCGTTAAATTAAATTGTATTTGAGAAACTGTGCTATCTGATGCAGATGGTGGAATTATACAGTCACTGCTGATATTTCTCAGGTGCCTTGGAGCAGGTACCTAGAAAGGAAGGCTTCTTAAGAGAAAATCTAAATGAGGACAGAGGGTTGGCCCGTAAGAGGACTGGAAGATCCTTAAAAGCATTTGATCTTTAAATTTACTCTTCACTGATTTAACATGAGCCAAATTTCAGAAAAAGAAATGTCAAGGTAAAAATGATATTATTCTAATACTTCATCATTTTCCTGATAATCTTTGAGTTGATCGATAGCTTAAACAGGTGTTTTGTTTTACTGGCCTGTTTTATTTTTCCTCCAGTCTATATGCTCTGGGCTATTTCTGCCATTCCCTGCCCTTTTCCAGAACTTGGCTCACCAGGCATGATGAAGGGAAGGGAGTGAGTCTATTCCACATACACATTATTTATATTTATATTCACATTCACATTATTTCGCATTCAGGTTTTCAAACCATTCTTCTAGTGCTGATGGGTCTTTGAATTCCCAATGTTGGGAGAAATGTTTTCATCAGAAAAATAAATACTCAAACTAGAAATATGCATTTCCAGGTTTGTAAGCCCCATCATTTATTTTAGTCGAATCCTAAATGCAGAAGGCAGGAAGCTGATTCCCTCCTCCCAGGTTGGCTGAACCGCAGTAGCAGAGAAACGGATATTGCATTGCTCTGGAGGACTGTGTGAGGTTAACTCGGGACTTTCAAACCCCAGCAACCCTACGGGGGCCTCTATTGGCTGTGGGGCCCAAGTACAGCAAGGTGGACACTGGGTGGACCTGTGGGTGAAGGTCCCTGACGAGTGTGAGGCCCACAGGGACAGGTGTCTGGCCAAGCTGAGCTCCAGGGCCAAGGCCCACCATCCTGTCTACACTCAGCTCAGTCCTGGTCTTCAGGGAGTTAAGGTAATTGCAGAATATCTCAATTTCCATAAGAAACCCCACAATCATCGATGGGTTCCCATAGGAGAACTGATGTCATCGTCAATGAATTTCCTTCACGATCTAAAAAATGAGCAAACTGGTAGCTCTGTTTCTCCAACTTCAGTCACCTGGAAAATGTAACAAATGCAGGTTCTTGAGCCCCACCCTGGACCTACTGAATGGCATCACTAAGTGGAGCCTGGGGCTCTGCATTTCCAGCATTCAGTGGACGCACAGTGAAACTTGAGAGCTCTTGGCCATAGGTGCGCTTTGCCGAGCATGACCAAAATTCATTCTGAGCCCATGCAGAGAGTGTTCCTCTGCTACCTGTAGCCCCAAATAACATGTTATTACTTGCCTTTTAGAAAGATGAGTCAGAGATGGAGTGGGATGGAGGCAGAAGAGACCAGATGGAAGGGGCTAGGAGAGCGCATGGAACCAGGTCAGACACCCACCCACAATGGAGGCATAGCCAGGGCTCCCCTTTGTGCCAACCCAGCTTCCAGGGCATTCTAGAAGCCTGCCAGCTCCCACCTCCTCCCTACAGACTCCTATAGCCACCACTGCTGGCTCTTGCTGGCCACCAAGGCTGCAGGGCTGCCTCCTCTCTCTCTCTCTCTCTCTGCACAGTTGCACATGGGGCATGAATGTTTAAAGACCTCTGCCTAGCCCAGCCACAAACAAGAGAGAGCCTGTGGGTTTAGTTTTCTTTTTTCGGTTCTCCTCCCTGCCACAAGCTCGTCTCTGCAGGAAACTGGGGAGCCACTTACAATATATTTCTATTTTATTTTATTTTTATTTTGCTGAGCTCCAGTTCAAATAATTAAAGTTGCCACCAGGGAGGGGAGCCTTGTGGTGGCTTTCATGTGCTCGCTGGCTGTCAGACCCGCACGAGTCCGCCTTGGCTTTGAGACGCCCTCGGATGTGTCTGGCATCGCAGCTGCCAGTAATAAAGAGCGCGGCAGAGTGGCCTGTCCCCACCCCTCCCCCTGCCTTTCACACATCCGAGCAGCCTGAATGTCTCAACAAGCCCCGTGTGGTTTGAAATTCTATTTTATTTGAATAGCCTGCCTGTGACTAGAATAATTTAAACCATGTTCTCAGGCCAGAACAAGACCTAGGGTGGAGGGGTGGGGGAGGAAGTGGGCTTCCCTCATTTTTTTTCCCCTCCAAAATATGGAAGCAGCTTTCCTTCTGTGAGCTGTCAGAGGACAGGGGGACTGGAAGTGGGATGGGACCCCCCAATTTGTGGGGATCAGTTCCTGGCTGCTGGTTTTCTTACCTGGCTAGAGCTCAGCTGCCTCTCCCCTCTCCCCACACACATACGTACACACAGACACACGCATGCACACGCACTGGGATCCTGAGACACAGTGGGGACCTGTTCCCCCTGATGTCAGCCCTAGTGATAAAAAGAATTGACTCTGATTAGCCATTGTGGGCTGCAGAGATCAGGGCAGAAAGGGACCAGCAGGCCCCTCCATGTCTGCATGGAGGAAGGAGACCCACATTGCGTGTCATTAGAGCCAGCAAATGTGACCCAAAGGGACATGGGGGAGGAGACTGGCCTCTGGAACTGCCCTCAGCAGCCATCCAGCCAGTAAGCCCTGCTCAAAGCCCCACTGAGAAGGCATCCCCAGTGGTGGGCAGGCTGGAAGACTGGAGGCCAGCGAATGTTTCAGTAAACGGCTCTCTCGGGTTGGTTGTGTGAGATTTGCAGGGTGCTGGTGGCCATCCCTGGAAACGGGGCCCATCCTTTCCCTCCAGCCTCTCAGTGTGATGCAGGAGCAAGACAGTGAGTCGTGGCGGTGCTGATGGGCTTATCCAAGCTTGCCCCCAGCTGCGCCAGCAGACAGATAGGACTTGCAAGATGGGAGGGAGGGAGGAACTTTTCTGGCTGCTGTTTTTAAAGTTTATTAAACTCAACGGCAAAATCCTCTGTTAAAAGGTGAGAAAAGGAGTATGAGAATAGTAAGAATAAGATAGCTTGAGGTAGCGGAAAAAACAAAAGCCCATCCTACATCTGCCCCCACCCAAATGTCGGCAAGGCGGGGGCTGAGAAGAACGCGCAGGAACATCGGATTCAGCTCGCTTTACCGACAGACCCTACGCGTCTGGGCTTCCTTACTCATGATCAGGGAGGGCGCGCAGGACTGCCCAGGGGTGGAAGCGGCAGGGCAGGAGAGAAATGCACCCAAAGACCCACAGCTAATAAACACAAACTAGGACCAGACCCAGGCCTTAGGACTCAGAGCTCTTCCTATCACACAGCCCTGCCAGAGACTGAGGGAGCGGTCCCAGGAAGCTAATGTTTTAATAGCAGTAGGGGGGGCCCTGTCGCCTCTCCACCAGCCCCACCAGCATGGGTATGGGGCACACCCTCCTCCAATCCACCGCAAGTTCCTTTGCCCCACTGCGCCGGCAACAGACACCTGCACAGAACAATATGCTGTCAGAGGGGCATGTCCCACATCATCCCTGACCCCTCAAAGGAGGGTGACATTGACGAAGCCCCA